GATATAGCCTAAATCAGGTTGGTTTGTTTTTACTGACGTATCACATTAGTGACTCATATTCATCCTATGATCAATGAACACATCCAAATTCTTATCCTTCTATGTTGGTTCCAACGCTGAGCCCTTCAGTTTATAGCTTATTTTAATTTGAAAAGTATTTTATAGTTTATTTTAATCTGAAAAATACCTTTATAAAAATAAAAGCCATGAGGTATGTTAAAGATGAGACATTAGCTTAGAACATGCATTGGTATTTGCCAGAAAGCTTACATATGTTCTTATATAAGTAAAAATATGTATATCCACATATCTATATATTTTACTGTATAAAACTAGTTTTATAGTTTATCATTACCGTTATTGTTATTTATGTAATTAAATGCATCCTTCATACAGCTCCTCTCTCTAACCTACAATGTATTCCTACAAACTCAGATCTCCTGCTTGACAAGATAATATATTGCTGTCACCCTACTGAATATTAGTATAATTCTGATTTTAGTCTACTAAAATGACAAGTGTAGCTACTTTATAGCTGCTTTGGATCATAAAACATTTTGAAAGTTATTTTGCTATTGAACCAGCACTGGAGCAGATATGCATGAAGATTTGGCATTTAATATGTGAGGTGGTTTTGCTCCTTTTCTGTTGTGGGAAATTTGGTTATAAATTTTTCATGACATAGTTCTTTTGTCTGTCAGCACCTTTTACTTGGGGAAAAAATTTGATTGACAGCCACTTTGAGTTTACTCCTCCAGAGCTTTTACTCATCACAGAAAAAAAAGTTTAAGAATAATAAAAAAATTAAAAAAGGAAGAAGAAATATGGACAAAAAAAATAAATTTAAGAAAATACTTCCTTTTTTCATTGTTCCTTTTTAAAGTGCTAGATATAAAATAGCTGTCATCAAATAAGATGAGGAGATGTTTTATGACCCAGGAAGAAATCAGAATATGTTTTTAGTTACAGGCCAGAGTCTACAGAATTGCCTTCATTCTACACTGCAGTAAGGCATAAAAGCCTTCCCTTTCTGAGAAAAAATCAGACTGAGAAATAGGAGGTATCAAATTAAGGCCCTACCCCATCAAAGAGTGATAACTGTGCTTAATTTTATGAACTATGACAAGTTCCATTAACTAAATGGAGCTAATCATAAAGCTAAGCATATGCAAAAATAGTCACAGGTCACGACTAGGCTTAGGCTTCAGGATTAACTGAGATGTATGTTGCTGCTCTAATTGTGAAGAAAATGAAGGTAGCTGTAGCTTGTCTCTGTATATATGCAACAGGTCTGGTGTATAACTAATGAGATCATGAAAAGGGAGAGAGAAGTAGATAGTTAAGTACTCTGTGTAAAAGAAAAGAGAAATATATAACTAAAGTTTAGCTATATAGAAGTTGTCAGCTGGTCTTTAGCCTATCAATACATTTCCTCAGAAAATACTTCCCAAAGACTCAGCTTTCAGTGTTAGAAGACCAAGGGAGGAGCAAGGTCATTTATTAAGACAACTTAAGTGCAGGCAGTTGGGGCGTAACTTACATGCACAGATGTTGTGTCATATCTATATGAGGTAGACTCATGAGAAAACATTGTTTTCGCATTTGCAAATAGCCCATAACTACTACTTTTGTCTAATCTGAGGTGGATTGTTATTGACTATCATCTCTCGACAATGTGCCTGCCTGCCACTCCACCAAAGAGCATATCTGCATCCTCCCGAGGAAATCAGGGCGAGGAGAACATGACAGCCTGCGTACAGATCAATGCCACACAGGAGGCTGCTGTCTTTCCTCCAGAGCAGTGCCATCAGCAGCCTTGTCATTTCTCTCAACCCCAAAAATCCCAGTTTCAGAGTTAGTTTGAGGAGAAGTTAGTTAGTTAGATTTTTTTTTTTTTGGAAAAATACTCACTTTAATAACTCGCATCAAACAAGCCACAAATGTAAAACAGCACAAAGCCCACCCAAATCCAGTAAGGCCACTTTTTCAAAATTCTATGAGTAACTCACACCTGACAACAACAAAGTCCCTAGTTTACTAACTACATAGTTCATCTCCTATATTAGATTTTCTCTTTGCATCATTACCAACTTTTTAGAATCCCAGTTAGTTGCCAGCATGGCTGTGCAACAGTCCATAAATCACTATATAACAATGGAAACCTGGATATCCAATATTTAAAGCCAAAAGGAAATGATAGAATATATTATTAGAGTTCGTGAGTTATGCTTTAGTGTCTTCCTCCTCCTCAAAATTCCGGCATTAACTTTTGTGCACAAAATTAGTTGTGCTAGCTAAGTTACAGTCATTTTACTGAGAGTCGCTTTTTTTCACTCTTTTGTGTTCACAATCTTTTGTCATTAGAGTCTTCAGAAGTCATGTCATCACTCTGTGATCGGCCATGTCTCTCCAAAATCATTTTCAGTTTCTAAACACAGTGACTTTCCAAATAATCTATTATTATTAAAAAATGTGTATTAGGTTTTGGCCAAAGTCCTTTTCATACTTACTGTCAGTTTCAACACATTGATTGCAATTGGGTATGAGGATTGAGATTCTGGCCAGATTATATCACTGTCTGATTTAAGGTACTATAGCATTGTAAAGTAATTATATTTGGCCAGCAAAAACTTCCACATGCATAACAAGCTGCAGGGAAAATTCTGATGCTTCAGCTTTGTGCTGTGCACTCATCTTAATGCAAAAAGTACAGCCAGCGAAAGCAATCAAATGAAAGCACAAGTCACAGCAAACACAAGCAACTGAGATGACCACCCAAACTATAGTTAGTCAAGTGCAAATCTGAATATTTCTGAGATTGCCATAGTCTAAAATGGTGGTCTACATGGCCCCTAGCCACATCCGGATTTCAAACAATAAAGACTTTTTTTCAGGCTAAAAACTATTCTTGATTATATACCACTGTCCATGAACAAGTGCAACTTGTCAGTGAAGTTGGGTAACAACCAACTTTTCAGTTTCATGGAAAGTTCTGGTATTTTGGTGGAGGAGGTGTTTCTGAAAAAAAAAGTCCAAGAAAAATCAAAATTTCTTCTCAAATTCTGAAAAATGTTTATTTTGGGTGGTTAAGGATATTATTTGACAAAGCATATTTTGTTCTGCCTTTAAAGAATTTGTTTAAAATACATAAAGTCAAAACTCAAAATATTCCATCATCAAAAATGTCAAAAATAGATATTTTTTATTCTTATGCATTGATTTAAATAAAGATACTTCTCCTACAAAAACTTGATGAGGAATTTCTGACCAGTTAGACTTACAATGTGGTTACAGCTACAATTTTCCTAAAAATTTCCCATGATTCACTGGAGAAGGACCTTTCCTGCTCCCAGAAATGGAAATGGTTACAGTCCCTCTTCACTCAGCTATCTTTAGGGCTGAGAGACAGCGGGAAGAATGGCAAAGCTGCAGGACTATGTTGTCTGCTTCCTCCCTCTCAAAGGAGTCTAAATAAATGTGCTGAACTCTCCTATCTCAAGTTTAAAACCTATATATCTAAGAAACTGTCATCTTTTTCCTATTATTTTCATTGTATGACTATTCTACAATATTCTCAACAAGTCGTCTTCAGCAAAGTGGATACATCATTTCCTTATAGATATGGGATGGAAGTTGATATTAATTATAAACACATTTTTGTCTAAGAAAATCAAACATCACCCCAGTCTTCAAAAAGGGCAAGAAGGAGGAGCCAGGGAACTACAGGCCTGTCAGCCTCACCTCCATCCCTGGAAAGGTGATGGAACAGCTCCTCCTGGAGGTCATCACTAAGCATCTGGAGGACAAGAAGGTGATCAGGAGTAGTCAGCATGGATTCACCAAAGGGAAATCATGCTTGACCAATCTGATAGCCTTCTATGACAGAATGACTGGCTGGGTAGATGAGGGCAGAGCAGGGGATGTTGTCTTTCTGGACTTCAGCAAGGCTTTTGACACTGTCTCCCATCACATCCTCCTAGG